TTGTATCGATCTGTTAGATTAAGCCCTTTTCAACAAATGTAATAGTTTGTTCTTATAATGTACTGTTACATCATTGTCCCAGGTAAAGGCAGGATTGTCTCCTGCAAACATGTTTAACCCCGCCACATTCTACATAGGAAAAATTGCAACATATGTTTTCATATGTTTAACATATGTTTTTCATATGTTTGAAAACATATGTAAACATATGTTTAGGCCCGACATGAAAACATATGTTTTCGAACATATGAAAAACATATGGAAAACATATGAAAAACATATGTTTTTAAAATCATATGAAAAACATATGTTTTTCATACATGTAAACATATGAAAAACATATGTTTTTCATATGTTTTTTACAAACATATGTTTTTCATATGTTTTCATACCCGGCCTAAACATATGTTTTCATATGTTTGTCCTAAACATATGTTTTCATATGTTTGGCCCAAACATATGTTTTCATATGTTTTTATATTGGTCCTAAATATATATTTTTTATATGTTTTTTTTAAATTGTTCAAATGCATTTATTTTCTCATGTATATGTATTTTTTTTGGGGATAGGTTTTTAAGGGTAATGTTTTGATGTTTTTCTTCTTTATCTTTTTTTTTCTGTCAGGAACTCATTTTGAGTGTAAATACTTCAATGTGATGAGTTGCTGTTTTAAAAAGTAAATAAACCAAAATACCTAACTCCACAGAAAATACATTGCAAAATCAAAAGCTCAAACAAATAAAAAACAACTGTATACAGGCATTCCTTTATGCAGAAAAATAATAATCACAGTCAGTGCTCCATAATTTAAATATCAAGTAGAACCTATTTTTTATTAAGTTGTTGTCTCTTCTATTTTCATATTTTTGTCTCTTTGACATACCCCATTTTTATTGTCTATATTCTACTTTCATATTTTTCCTTCTTTGACATACCACATTTTTATTGTCTATATTCTATTTTCATATGTTTGTCACTTCGACATATACCATTTCTATTGTCTATATTCTATTTTCATATGTTTGTCTCTTTGACATATATGTACCCCTTTGCTATTGTCTATATTCTATTTTCATATGTTTGTCTCTTTGACATATCCCATTTCTATTGTCTATATTCTATTTTCAAATGTTAAGTAATTACTACATGTATTAGTATTGAGGGTAACATAATGATGTATGTGATATTTCTATATCATCATACCCAGATATATAATTGTCTACACTGCTTGCTATTTCTGGTAACATGTAACATGTATGATTAAGAAAAACAACTAGATTGACTTTTGATTTTGAGTTCAGTATAATTAATATTAATATAAAATCAATGTTCTTTCTTTGTTTCTTTACTTCTCAGTTCCTGCAAGTGAAGAAAAGAGTAATTGCATTAGATAATGATATTAATTTGCACTTGAGAATAAAGAATAAAAATAAAAATTTAGTTACCGTAGATCAAATCTGAATACAGAAATGTTTAGAATTTAAATTTTGTATGATAAATTCATTAGGTATTTGTTGTTTCTTTTTTTGCAGTTGATGCAATTTCTGGGTACAACTTTATTTAAGGAATGACTGTAATATTTTTTCTGTCTATGAAGAAATAACATAAAAAATGTGGTGCACACTGAATAACACGCATTTTAAAGTGTGCACCACATTTTTTATGTTATTTTGAATAGACAGAAAAAATTGCTTTAAGTTATGTTTAGTTCTCTCACTTTTATGCTACTTCTGATATTCTAGGTTGCATTAAAAAGACAATAAGGATCAATATTACATATGTTGTAGCATATTCTACTATTTTCATTGGATATTACGATCACATGTTTCAAAGGTTATTTTATGTATCCGAAGCCTTGTATCTTTTTTTACGTATATTGACGCTATGTTTCTATTTAGGAGATAACTATGTTGTATTTTAAGCTCTGACAGCATCAATTGGTGATTTGATGGTTGCAAAATTATGCTATCTGGCGATGCAATGATGCTGTTAGAGTTTAAAATACAATATTGTTATCTTCATTCTAATGAAACTGCCAGAAGCATGTTTTTTTTCTCTTTTCAGGACTTTTATGATATGTTTATGAATGACTTGGTTCAGTTTATACACCAATAAATTCCTTTAAAAAGGCGTTTAAGTCTTATAATTTTTTAAAATTGGAGATAAAGAATTCATTTTTCCACACTCGTAACCTCTATCATACGTAAATAGTACATTGTGTCACTAAATTGGCCTTGCACATGAATATATTTGTTCAACAGGTTAACGCAGGAAATTTTCTATCTGATAAGAAATGAAATACAAAAACTTTTATCATTAAACAAATATATATTTTGTGTTTATTATTTAATTTGATGATAAATGCGAAGTGAAAATAAATATTTTAAACGTTGAGCCGGGATGTGTTATTATCCGCCACAATCTTGTTTACATTGGTTACAAAAAGAAGTTCGGTTAATGTTGCCTACCAAAAAACAACAACGTCAAAAACAACTACCGGAAGTCATCTTGACAAATCATATCAACGTATTCCCCAATATGCAAATCATATAAGAATTATAAATTAAGGACTTTCACTCGGTCAATATAATCTGAACAGGTCCATATATAACGTATTGACCTCGTCAAAAGTCCATAATTGATAACTGTCCCATAGTATCGCTTTCTGCAACACTTAAGTCACAGGCAAGAAAAAACATCACAAATTGAGATATGGCAATCCTTTAAAAAAAAACTGGCTATTTTAATTGATACATTGACCCAAAAAAATATATCTGTTTTAAGGAGGCTTGAGGTTACAAAAATTTAAACATTTGTTTTTTTCATTACAAATTTTATTTATTACACAATTAGTTGTTACTTTATGATATGGTACTAAAATCAACCAAAACATTCAATTCGTTGACCTATATTTTTTATTACTTTTTTCAAATAATCTGTTTCTAAACTAAACAATTGTAAAATTTATGCGATTTCTGTAATTTAGTTCTTTTTTTATTTCGATATTAGCTATTTTTCTCCTAATAACAAAAATGCAGGTTTCTTTTGAAGGCAGATTGTCAGCTTAAATTATTTTACTTATCCATTAAGTATATGATAAAAAAATATAGCAAAAATCCTATACATGTATTTAAAATAAATTGGTTTTAAACACGCAAGCCCCTTAAAAACTTGTTTTTGCATTTGTTTTCTTTTGTATTTGATTAATTTACATATTATATATCAAGGCTTTTTTCATAAAAATAAAATAAATTTCATCTATATCTACCAACCTACAAAGTTGTTAGTTAAAAAGTAACAACCCAATATTATTAGATTGAGAATTATCTTATCAATTAGTATACCTAATCTCTGCAACCTTCTCCTACTGTCAATCTCTTGCAATTTATCCATCCTTTTGGCATCATTTTTTATGTCCTTCATTGTTTTGTCATGATATTCCTTAAAGGTCTGCCAAAAGTTACAGTAGAATTCTAATGAGTCACTCCCATCAAGATTCAGTTTCTTGGTGTGCAGGAATGACCTCTAAAACAGTGAGGAAAAATAAAATAATAAAAAAGACACTCTGTTAGGGAATAAGACAAACATTCACCAACTAGAGGCCCAGCCTACCATAATGTGATAGTAAAAATGAGCCCTATTGGCATTTTCATGAAAGGTTTTAGGACCTATCCAAAATTAAAGTTGCATTTGCCAATTTGACCATGTGAAGCCATTTCTCCCATTCCATAACAAACTAGATAATTCATAATAAATTATAAACATTAGATGAGTAGAATTTTATGGAAATGTTTGATTTTAGCCCCTCCCTCCCCCTCCCCCCTCATTTTCATGAAAAAAGGTTTTAGGACTTAACCAAATTTAAGTTGCATTGGCCAATTTGACCTTGCTCAGCCATTTCTCCTGTTCCATAATAATCTAGATAATTTTGTTTTTAGCCCCCTCCCCCCTCACTTCTTCTCTGAACTGGTCACAAACCCTCAAATTCAAATTAATCCATTTTCCTATTAAATGTATATTTAATGCAATATAATCAAATACAGTGCAAAATAGGTTTTAAATATTATAACTTTCAGTTTAAATTCCTATGATTATCTGAGATATCACATGCTACATGGATGAATGGATGAATAGTTGTTTATAACGTCAAATGATAAGTTAGATATATATTCAGTGGGAATATAATATTGAGAAATGAAGATTGAACCTGCTTTTTATAAGAGCTGCACCAAAGCAGGATTTTTAAAGTGCTAGCTCATAAGGTAACAGATGGCAGAAAGACGTGTCATCTTACACAGACACATTTTTCTCTCTCAGTGCCCACCAGTGAGTCCTATTCTTACTGACTATGCGGTATGGCTCTCATTTCTGAAGGCCGTACGGTGACCTGTAGTTGTTAATTTCTGTGTCATTAGGTCTCTTGTGGAGAGTTGTCTCATTGCAATCATACCACATCTTCTTTTTTATATTTACTGTTTCTAACGCTAGTTGGAACCCCCAGGTTACATGATGCTTGTAGAGCCTGGTTAATAGTTCATGCGATAATGCATTAATATTTTCCAGCTATTTCAAAATCATTACATGAAAATCACTGATTTCCAACACCGTTCACCTTGCCTATATGTTACATAGCAGTGTTGTCTATAGCAAATGTATATAATAAACACTACAGGCCAGCTAGCATTAGGCAGGAGGGTGACTGAGAACTAAAGGGTGCATACAAAAGAAACAACATGTGTAAAGTGTATGATGTTAGAGTTTCAATAAATATATGTAACAATTAAACAATATGTAACTTTTACTACTTTAATTGCAGTTTTATAAATCATGTTGGATTTTTCGTTTGCTCATTGTTGAGGTCTGTACTAAGAACTATCATTGCATATATTTACGACACTTGGTCTTGAATGCAGAGTTGTCTCCTTGGTAATCTTCTAATAACATGCATAATTTTCATAACGGTTTGATTTCTCATTTGATTGTCTTTTTACCTGTCAATTGCATCTGAACACAATGCAGTGGCAACCAGCGCTTGCTCTTATGTGTAGATGTGTCATCTAAGAAGAGGTTAAGTGGCATGGTTACCACTGGTGTACCATCCTCTTTTTGTTGAGCAAAGGGTATTTCTTCTGTCCATTTCTTTCCATTGGCGGGATGAGTTACTTCAACTGATGGTTCAGGTGATCTGTTTAAAATTTTATAGAAGTTATCAAAACATAAAAATCTATCTGCATGTCTTCTTGATTTTTTTGCCATTGCCACCAAGAATACTGGGAACAAAATTTTAATTGTGTGCATAATTTTGTCATTCTACTACAAATAGTTATGAGATTTTTTTTAATGGCAGTATTTGTATCTTGGATATGTGATTTTATCTATACTGGGGATTCATTATTTTTAATGGATACCAGGTGAACCACAAATTTAAATATTCAACAAATTACAAATTTTACTTGACTTGTATGAGGACAACGATATACCATTATATGTCCCGTAAACAGGCATATAAAGATTGTGTTAAATGGAATACTGTATCAAAAAATTATATTTAAATCAAATGTATACCTTTTCAGTTTCTTGGCTGTATTAGGATGTGCTAGGCCTAGTTTTAGTATCTGGGATGGCTTTAAAATCCATATAGGAATCTTTTCTTCATTAAAACCCTGTAATCAATATTTAAACTTCAATGCATATATCTGTTCTGTAATTCTGTAATAATGCTGTATTTTCATTGCATGACTGAGACATGGTATTTTTTTACCAATTTCTACTTATTGAGATTTCCTTTTCTCTGTGTATTTGTTATTAGAGAATTCCATGTGCCGGATATTTGCTAGCAAACTAGCATATACCCATGGCAGATGTGGAATACTATGTCTAGAAATAACCCAATGAATTATTTCTATTATAATAGGACAAATTTGTTTGTTATCCATTATATACTGTAACTCTTACAACTGTACAAATGAAATATATAGGATATAAAACATAATTATTGAATTTGGAGCGAGTGATGTAAACATTTTGTGAACCTCTACTTTTAATGACATCATAAATAACAAGAAATGATTGTAACAGGATATCGATGCTGTTACGAAGTCTCCCAAACGAAGCTCCCATAATTCGAAATTCCCAGTGTCGCCAAAGTCCAGTGAAAATTGGTTTGGTCCAGTAAAGTATATGCATTAGTGATGCCTGGGGACTAACCCTGTATATCATTCAAATCATCTTGGCATGACAAACCAGAATATATATGGTTTAGGGGTGGGGATCTCGACCATTTACAAGATACTAGAACATTGGGGGTGGGGGAACCCCTGGGGACTGACCGCATACATCATTCAAATGTTCAAGACACGACGAACAGGAATATATATGGTTAAGGGGTGGGGATCTCGACCATTTACAAGATATTAGAACATTGGGGGTGGGGGGAACCCCTGGGGACTGACCGCATACATCATTCAAATGTTCGAGACATGATGAACAGGAATATATATGGTTTAGGGGGTGGGGATCTCGACCATTTACAAGATATTAGAACTTTCTCAAATGGCAGGGGATCAGGATGACCCCTGGGGACTAACCCTGTATATCATTCAAACCATCATAGCATGACAAACCAGAATATATATGGTTTAGGGGTGGGGATCTTGACCACTTACAAGATATTAGAACTTTCTTAAATGGCAGGGGGTGGGGGTGACCCCTGGGGACTAACCCTGTACTTCATTTCATGTGCTTTATCATGACAAACCAGAATATATATGGTTTAGGGGTGGGGATCTTGACCACTTACAAGATATTAGAACTTTTTCTAAATGGCAGGGGGTGGGGGTGACCCCTGGGGACTAACCCTGTATTTCATTTGATGTGCTTTATCATGACAAACCAGAATATATATGATTTAGGGGTGGGGATCTCGACCATTTACAAGATATTAGAACTTTCTCAAATGGCAGGGGGTCGGGATGACCCCTGGGGACTAACCCTGTATATCATTCAAACCATCTTAGCATGACAAACCAGAATATATATGGTTTAGGGGTGGGGATCTCGACCATTTACAAGATATTAGAATTTTCTCAAATGGCAGGGGGTGGGGGTGACCCCTGGGGACTAACCCTGTATTTCATTTAATGTGCTTTATCATTTAGAACATTTTCAATTAAAAAGATTGTGTCTATCACAAAAGGTTTTCAATTTATAATCAGTTGAAAATTTTTAAAAATAAAATCCCATAGGGTTCTATAGTAAAACCCTCCTTTCTTTTTGCCCCTCAAAGTACCCCTTTATAAACCCCAATGCACAAACAAAACCCTGATTGCACCACTAGACATGTTAGTCTAGCATATTGTGAAACCCTAAGTTAATCTGACAAGGGGTTTTGGAGAACGGGTGCGGACAAGTTCAAAGAAGAAGAAGAAGAAGAAGAGGCGGACAAGTTCAAAGAAGAAGAAGAAGAAGAAGAAGAAGAAGAAGAAGAAGAAGAACCAATAAGTCTTCCCAAACGAACGAAGACTTAAAAATCAACGGCAACGCATTGCCAATGTCATAAATAATGAGATATAAAGGTTCAGTGATTGTACATAAAAAATTATCATAAATGTATATACGCAATGCAACTTGACTGCGCAAATAGCACAGCTGCATTACATGTATATACAAAAAAAAACTCCAGTCAAGTAAAACTCCATTGTTACCTGATTACAATAAAGTTTCTGAAGTCAAGATTGATACAAAGAACATTCAGTTGAATGGAACATTTATATCATGCTTACAAGGGGTATTTGTATAAAACTTTCTGATTTCTTTTATGGAAAACTTAGTACTACATTTTGGTAGATCATGAATTTCAAATAAAAAATAGCCTCACATTTAATGTATCTATAGAACGAAAGTGAGTTTTTTTAAAGACTGTTAAATTGATTTTCTGAATTGCCCTTAATATTGGTTGGTCTTCACTCTTCAGTCAAAATACCAACCTTTGTTACTATGTCTTCCCAATTAAATTTCCCAATCTTTTTTTATTTCAACTGTTGCAGAGTTGGTAAACTGCTAATACCCAATTCAGCCATCATAAATATAATAAATTTGACAACTTCATCGCTCTAAAAAAAAATATGATAAAATAGTGATCAATGTAATAAGGTATATATTTGCTGACAATATTCATAATAAGTACATCATAGGCAGATAAATGGGGAGCCAAAAAGACAGCCCCCCTTTTACTGGGAATTTTTTTTTATTATATATGGAATCACTGAAGCATGACTGCAGGCCCCCTTTTACAGCAATCTTAGAGAAGGTATAAAATCAATAAAACAAATCATAAAGGAACACTTTATACATTTTAGATAAAATAATGGTTAAATGCTAATTTATAAAAATGTATAAGCTGGGAACAGTATATCTAACAGGGAAATGAATCTGATAGGCTTTTCAGTATAAAATTGATAAAATCTCAGGACTGCACGAGATTTATGGATTTTGGTGGCGTCTGACTGAAAAACTATCGGAACTGCTCAATAAATTAACCACATAATTCTAATCGTAAATAAATACAAGTTTTATCATAAAGTAGATACATTTTGTCATATAAAATGACCAAAAGAAGTGTGATTTATTTGATGTGAAGTGTTTTATAATGTTTTTGAATTTGGGAAGGCAATCGGCGCCATTTTTTTATTACCTTGTTTGCATTCTGTACCATTCTGTGATAAAATGAATGCGATTATAACAATTTTAAAGTGACAGAATACAAGTTTGATACACTGGCATCACTGTAAAACTAGTTTGAATGACATTTTATTGATATTATCAGAAATTATTAGGATAATAGCGAGTATGTATTTAACACATGTCCGTTTCTGTATCGTATCTTTATTACATGTACCTAAAACCTGACGATAAAATAGGCTACAATTAGGTAGTGTCAAGTCCTGTCAATATATATGTTCCTGGTATAAGCAAGCATTTAATGTAAACAGAACTAGCAAAATACACATTTTTTTCAGAGTTTAAAATACATATATTTTAGGCTACATACATGATGGAGCACTGGACTCCATACTTACAACATGATGGGTCGAAGAATTCATCAGTATGTACAAAAGACATTCTGCCTTTGAGCTGAATGGATGCCAATTTTCATGTTCTTGTTCTTGGTTGTACATGTATGTGGTACTGTCTGCTGTTTCATTTTCTACTTCAGATTGAATCCTTTGGGAAAAATCTGCTAATGAAACAGTTTAAACTTTTAAAAGTCATTGCATTGTTATACTTATCCAGAATTAATTATCACGATTTACATTAATAACAAATAACCTCTATTTAGAGTCGGCAAAGTAAACAAACAGAGAGTCTGAGACAACATAAGCTCTACTGAGCTTTTAACCGACACGGTTTGTTTACATTTCATGTTAAAAGTACATTTCTGGAATGTGACCGGAAATTGATTTTGCAGATGACAATGCTTTTAAAACTTACCATGCTCTTGATCAACATCACCAAGTTCCAGATAACCATCATTAAGTTCCAGATAACCGTCATTATCTGTTTCCATTGGTGTGTCTTGTGCCAGTGGTGGTTCAACTTCAATCTGATGCCGATGGTGTTCATCTTCTGCCAATATACGACCGCAAAAATTTTTATCCAACGCAATCATAGGTTTGAACGTTGTTTTCAATTTAGACTCTTTATATATATTTATCATATATTTAGTACAAAATACAGCAATTTTGTATATCTAACAAAGGTTCTTTTTTAGCTAAACCTGTATCGCATACCCCGTATCGCATAGCCAAATCTGTATCGCATACCTGGCGTGACGTCATAAATCAAATGACGTCAACGTTTGACCTATGACGTCCAGTTGCTGTATTTCCTGGCATAGGAAAAAAAGTGAGTTCCCACTCAAGAAATGTCATATCATTTCAACTAAAATCGATATTTTTCAAAAAAATATTACCCAGTAACTTTATAAGCAATTTTTATAAAATAGATACAATAAGTTTTCTAGTGGGAACTCACTTTTGTCCACTGACTGCGTATATAGGAATCCCCTGTTTGTCTGTTAATAATCTCTGAATAGATGATACTTGGTAACATTGTTGTCCATATTTATGTATACAAATGAGTTCAGATTGTAGTATAATGATTAAACTTAACAACAAATATTGAGAAGGTGGGTTGTATTCTACAGGAGGGAATAGTTGACACTACTGTTAGTGAAAGCTTTTAAATACATGGTCTTAAAGTATATTATTTGCCAGTTTCATAGCTCTATATTGAGCATGTAATAAGGTCGTATGGGACATTACGATGTGGATATTAAGCAAATAAGGAAGCCTATAAAAAAAACTAAATCAGCTTGAAAAGTCCTTATGTTCTTTTGTTTGTTTTATTTTCGGACGATTTAAAAAAAAACGTATATCACATTAATCTGATTCTATTTAAATATATGATAAACAGAATAATACATGGCAAAATCCGTATCGCATGCTGTATCACCACTCGACCAATATCAGCCCTCGGGACTGATATTGGCTTCTCGTGGTGATACAGCATGCGATACGGATTTTGCCATGTATTATTCTTTATATATATATATGATTACTTCAGAAATTTTATCTCTCAGTAACCTAAGTTTGAATCCCAGCAAGTTTCAGGGTGTCATATATATGCCATGAAGTGGGAAATTGCATTCAGACCCAGTAGAATCACTGTGTCAACATCTGAATCTTCTATAATTGCTTGTCAAAAATGGGGGTTGGTTGAGTTTCATTTATGTCAGTAAATTCGGAAAGTCGCAGTACAGCTGTTTAAATTGATAATATATTCATCTTCAAAATCTGTTTGTCTTTGATACAGTGGCCAAGTTAACAAGTTTAGAGAAAATAGTAAAGGTTATACAAGCTGATGTGGAACATTTAAAGTCCAATGGAAACACCAGCAAGGCATTTTCCATGGATGATTGTTCCTTCAAGGTAAATTATTGGTAATCTTTAACTTCCCATCAATTTAAATACAAATTACTAGGAAATGTATGTATTTAAATGAAGTTTGAGATTTTACTATTTCTTTGAACACTTGAAATTATAAGAATTAAATAAAAGAGAAGAATGCATAACCTGCAGTTATAAATTTATATCATTCATGTAGCCTACACACTGACACATGTTGTACTTATTATACATTATTGTTATCGTTCAGCTTATTAAATACATGTATATATGCTTTCTTTGAAAAAAATTATCATTCATTTTTTTTCTCGTTATTTTAGGAGAGACTCAACGCCTTCTTGAAGGAAAAATTCACAAGGAATCCTTGGCTAAATGCCCAAACAGATCTAGCGTTCAAGTTAATCTTTATAGCTGTAGAATATTGATATAATTTCTTTTCTTTTTATTCCTCTCTAATTTTCTTCACATATATATATATATATATATAAAATTCAATTATTTATACATATATATACAATTTACATGTAAGTCAAGTGCTCTCCTGAACGGGCTGGAATATTGAAATCACAACCTCAGGTGACTGGCTAATGATTACAATAGTAATTTAAATCAAAACACAGATATAATTATATATACCTGAAATTGATAGGTTTCAATTTTTTTAACAAATACATTGATTAAAAGACTACATTTACACTAAATTATTATCATATATAGCTATCAACTTGACCATCATGAATGGATGATTTATGGGTCAAAATATCACAAATGTTTGATATAATGTTTTTAATATGTATTCATGAAATTCACTATAAAGGTATTTCCACTAGTGGTTGGAAAAAGATTAATGGAATGCATTAAAATGTTCTTTCAAGGGAGTATTACTTTTATTTTACTAGCACATTCTATTATAACTTTCACCTGAAGTATCTTTTACTATTAGGCTTAAGACGAAAAAAAAGGGTAAAATGTTTTGCCCATATCTTAAGAACACCCATTTTTATTTTCATATAAGACTTCAATAGCTCATTAAGGCCATTTATTAAAATTTAAGCAGATTTTATATTTCTTTTTTTTTTTGGGCGACCCAAAATAATAACGATAACCTTTAATTTAATAATGAACCTGTATCTTTAAAATTACTGCAACAGAAAAATTAACACAAATTTATTTATTATGCATTAGCATGAGTTACATCCCTTCAATGCTCTATTGAATAAAAAAAAAAGGAAATTATAAATTAGAAAATAACCTATAGTCCAATTTGAGGGACATTGTTTTTCTTATATATATATTATATAATTAAGGGATATCACCAACAAATTATATTCATAAATTAATTGTTTTATATTTAAAAAAAATGCTATAAATTGTACGATGCTTAACAGTGTCAAATATATAATAATGATCCACTCTAAAATGAATAACCAGCTCTGCTGAAAGTTTGCAGCAACATCACAAACTATAATGATTTTTTACTTCAGAATGAAGTACAAAAATGCCTTCGGATTGATGGAGTTGGTGAGAGGAATAATGTCGCATACAAGGTTGTATGTCAATATGCAGCACAGAGGTATACTGAATACAGGAACCAGTTGAGGAGAAAGGTATTACAGTGTAAAATATTATGTAAATTGTTGTGAAATCATTTTCAACATGGTTCATATTTAGGAGATAACTGTATTGTATTTTAAGCTTGGCCTTTGTAAAACGTAGATTTTACTGTCGCAAATTGAGTTTACCTAACGACGCATAAGGGGGGGGGGGGGGGACTTAAGTCAGTCAGTGCCCCCCCCCCCCCCCCCCTTCGAAAAGTTCTGGATCCGCCACTGTAAAATACAACACAGTTATCTCCATTCTAATGCAGGATATTAAAATAAATACCATTTAACAAATATTTTTTGCATAAAATGACATAAATGAAAAAGTCCTCGAAACTGTTGCGTTGTCTTTAGCAACTAAACAATGTGACGTTATATGTATACTCACGATGTCAAACATAAAACTCTACAGAGTATTACATTGTTAAAGTACAATTTAAGTAAGACAATATAGGAAAAGTGTACTGACATAAGAGGTCTCTAAATGCATTAGCTCCAAATGGAGCTTTCGTTAGTATAAGTCCGGATGATATTAATTATGTGTATCAACAGGTATAATTGTGAAAGCATAAAAATATAGTATATGCCAATACACATAATTAAAAGCACCTGGTGATGTTTATAGCCTGACCGGTTTTGGTCCGAAAGGGCCGAACCTTAGACATCAGAGGCAGAATGGTGGTTAAATGTTAGCACCCTATATATTTAGATACGGTAACCATGTTAAGTTAATTCAAAATTATTGTACTACAGAAGTACACACGCATAAGAAGGTGTGTAGGAAGGTTCTGCATATGATAATGAAAATGTCAATGAAGCATAATTATTTCAGGGTTTGTGAAAAGGGAGATAATTTAAGGTTTTGCTTAAATATTACAAGTGGGGTGATTAATCACTCAATAAGGTAATTATTTCCCCTCATATAAGTTTGCAGAAACCTATCTTGTTTTTCACACAAAAAGGGGGGCCCAGGATCTGCCTATGATAATGCTGTACCTAATTAATTATAACTTCAGCTAAATTATTGTTCATATAATGGATTGAAATATGCTGTTTTTGTTTTTAGTTAATAGCAGACATTAAAGCTGGAAAAGATGTGCAATCTTCTGCAATCGATAAATTTGCAGAGGACTACCTGGCAGTGTATTTATCTGCCGGGCAGCAGTCTGATTCCAGAGATAGGATGCAGTTATGTATCATACTAGTAAGTTACAATGTAGAAAAGTTTTGTAAGAATATAAAAAAAAGTTTTCATTTTAGTTATCGATAATATAACATCATACACTTTACACATGTTGTTTCTTTTGTATGCACCCTTTAGTTCTCAGTCACCCTCCTGCCTAATGCTAGCTGGCCTGTAGTGTTTATTATATACATTTGCTATAGACAACACTGCTATGTAACATATAGGCAAGGTGAACGGTGTTGGAAATCAGTGATTTTCATGTAATGATTTTGAAATAGCTGGAAAATATTAATGCATTATCGCATGAACTATTAACCAGGCTCTACAAGCATCATGTAACCTGGGGGTTCCAACTAGCGTTAGAAACAGTAAATATAAAAAAGAAGATGTGGTATGATTGCAATGAGACAACTCTCCACAAGAGACCTAATGACACAGAAATTAACAACTACAGGTCACCGTACGGCCTTCAGAAATGAGAGCCATACCGCATAGTCAGTAAGAATAGGACTCACTGGTGGGCACTGAGAGAGAAAAATGTGTCTGTGTAAGATGACACGTCTTTCTGCCATCTGTTACCTTATGAGCTAGCACTTTAAAAATCCTGCTTTGGTGCAGCTCTTATAAAAAGCAGGTTCAATCTTCATTTCTCAATATTATATTCCCACTGAATATATATCTAACTTATCATTTGACGTTATAAACAACTATTCATCCATTCATCCATGTAGCATGTGATATCTCAGATAATCATAGGAATTTAAACTGAAAGTTATAATATTTAAAACCTATTTTGCACTGTATTTGATTATATTGCATTAAATATACATTTAATAGGAAAATGGATTAATTTGAATTTGAGGGTTTGTGACCAGTTCAGAGAAGAAGTGAGGGGGGAGGGGGCTAAAAACAAAATTATCTAGATTATTATGGAACAGGAGAAATGGCTGAGCAAGGTCAAATTGGCCAATGCAACTTAAATTTGGTTAAGTCCTAAAACCTTTTTTCATGAAAATGAGGGGGGGGGGGGGGGGGGGGGGGAGGGAGGGGCTAAAATCAAACATTTCCATAAAATTCTACTCATCTAATGTTTATAATTTATTATGAATTATCTAGTTTGTTATGGAATGGGAGAAATGGCTTCACATGGTCAAATTGGCAAATGCAACTTTAATTTTGGATAGGTCCTAAAACCTTTCATGAAAATGCCAATAGGGCTCATTTTTACTATCACATTATGGTAGGCTGGGCCTCTAGTTGGTGAATGTTTGTCTTATTCCCTAACAGAGTGTCTTTTTTATTATTTTATTTTTCCTCACTGTTTTAGAGGTCATTCCTGCACACCAAGAAACTGAATCTTGATGGGAGTGACTCATTAGAATTCTACTGTAACTTTTGGCAGACCTTTAAGGAATATCATGACAAAACAATGAAGGACATAAAAAATGATGCCAAAAGGATGGATAAATTGCAAGAGATTGACAGTAGGAGAAGGTTGCAGAGATTAGGTATACTAATTGATAAGATAATTCTCAATCTAATAATATTGGGTTGTTACTTTTTAACTAACAACTTTGTAGGTTGGTAGATATAGATGAAATTTATTTTATTTTTATGAAAAAAGCCTTGATATATAATATGTAAATTAATCAAATACAAAAGAAAACAAATGCAAAAACAAGTTTTTAAGGGGCTTGCGTGTTTAAAACCAATTTATTTTAAATACATGTATAGGATTTTTGCTATATTTTTTTATCATATACTTAATGGATAAGTAAAATAATTTAAGCTGACAATCTGCCTTCAAAAGAAACCTGCATTTTTGTTATTAGGAGAAAAATAGCTAATATCGAAATAAAAAAAGAACTAAATTACAGAAATCGCATAAATTTTACAATTGTTTAGTTTAGAAACAGATTATTTGAAAAAAGTAATAAAAAATATAGGTCAACGAATTGAATGTTTTGGTTGATTTTAGTACCATATCATAAAGTAACAACTAATTGTGTAATAAATAAAATTTGTAATGAAAAAAACAAATGTTTAAATTTTTGTAACCTCAAGCCTCCTTAAAACAGATATATTTTTTTGGGTCAATGTATCAATTAAAATAGCCAGTTTTTTTTTAAAGGATTGCCATATCTCAATTTGTGATGTTTTTTCTTGCCTGTGACTTAAGTGTTGCAGAAAGCGATACTATGGGACAGTTATCAATTATGGACTTTTGACGAGGTCAATACGTTATATATGGACCTGTTCAGATTATATTGACCGAGTGAAAGTCCTTAATTTATAATTCTTATATGATTTGCATATTGGGGAATACGTTGATATGATTTGTCAAGATGACTTCCGGTAGTTGTTTTTGACGTTGTTGTTTTTTGGTAGGCAACATTAACCGAACTTCTTTTTGTAACCAATGTAAACAAGATTGTGGCGGATAATAACACATCCCGGCTCAACGTTTAAAATATTTATTTTCACTTCGCATTTATCATCAAATTAAATAATAAACACAAAATATATATTTGTTTAATGATAAAAGTTTTTGTATTTCATTTCTTATCAGATAGAAAATTTCCTGCGTTAACCTGTTGAACAAATATATTCATGTGCAAGGCCAATTTAGTGACACAATGTACTATTTACGTATGATAGAGGTTACGAGTGTGGAAAAATGAATTCTTTATCTCCAATTTTAAAAAATTATAAGACTTAAACGCCTTTTTAAAGGAATTTATTGGTGTATAAACTGAACCAAGTCATTCATAAATATATCATAAAAGTCCTGAAAAGAGAAAAAAAACATGCTTCTGGCAGTTTCATTAGAATGAAGATAACAATATTGTATTTTAAACTCTAACAGCATCATTGCATCGCCAGATAGCATAATTTTGCAACCATCAAATCACCAATTGATGCTGTCAGAGCTTAAAATACAACATAGTTATCTCCTAAATAGAAACATAGCGTCAATATACGTAAAAAAAGATACAAGGCTTCGGATACATAAAATAACCTTTGAAACATGTGATCGTAATATCCAATGAAAATAGTAGAATATGCTACAACATATGTAATATTGATCCTTATTGTCTTTTTAATGCAACCTAGAATATCAGAAGTAGCATAAAAGTGAGAGAACTAAACATAACTTAAAGCAATTTTTTCTGTCTATTCAAAATAACATAAAAAATGTGGTGCACACTTTAAAATGCGTGTTATTCAGTGTGCACCACATTTTTTATGTTATTTCTTCATAGACAGAAAAAATATTACAGTCATTCCTTAAATAAAGTTGTACCCAGAAATTGCATCAACTGCAAAAAAAGAAACAACAAATACCTAATGAATTTATCATACAAAATTTAAATTCTAAACATTTCTGTATTCAGATTTGATCTACGGTAACTAAATTTTTATTTTTATTCTTTATTCTCAAGTGCAAATTAATATCATTATCTAATGCAATTACTCTTTTCTTCACTTGCAGGAACTGAGAAGTAAAGAAACAAAGAAAGAACATTGATTTTATATTAATATTAATTATACTGAACTCAAAATCAAAAGTCAATCTAGTTGTTTTTCTTAATCATACATGTTACATGTTACCAGAAATAGCAAGCAGTGTAGACAATTATATATCTGGGTATGATGATATAGAAATATCACATACATCATTATGTTACCCTCAATACTAATACATGTAGTAATTACTTAACATTTGAAAATAGAATATAGACAATAGAAATGGGATATGTCAAAGAGACAAACATATGAAAATAGAATATAGACAATAGCAAAGGGGTACATATATGTCAAAGAGACAAACATATGAAAATAGAATATAGACAATAGAAATGGTATATGTCGAAGTGACAAACATATGAAAATAGAATATAGACAATAAAAATGTGGTATGTCAAAGAAGGAAAAATATGAAAGTAGAATATAGACAATAAAAATGGGGTATGTCAAAGAGACAAAAATATGAAAATAGAAGAGACAACAACTTAATAAAAAATAGGTTCTACTTGATATTTAAATTATGGAGCACTGACTGTGATTATTATTTTTCTGCATAAAGGAATGCCTGTATACAGTTGTTTTTTATTTGTTTGAGCTTTTGATTTTGCAATGTATTTTCTGTGGAGTTAGGTATTTTGGTTTATTTACTTTTTAAAACAGCAACTCATCACATTGAAGTATTTACACTCAAAATGAGTTCCTGACAGAAAAAAAAAGATAAAGAAGAAAAACATCAAAACATTACCCTTAAAAACCTATCCCCAAAAAAAATACATATACATGAGAAAATAAATGCATTTGAACAATTTAAAAAAAACATATAAAAAATATATATTTAGGACCAATATAAAAACATATGAAAACATATGTTTGGGCCAAACATATGAAAACATATGTTTAGGACAAACATATGAAAACATATGTTTAGGCCGGGTATGAAAACATATGAAAAACATATGTTTGTAAAAAACATATGAAAAACATATGTTTTTCATATGTTTACATGTATGAAAAACATATGTTTTTCATATGATTTTAAAAACATATGTTTTTCATATGTTTTCCATATGTTTTTCATATGTTCGAAAACATATGTTTTCATGTCGGGCCTAAACATATGTTTACATATGTTTTCAAACATATGAAAAACATATGTTAAACATATGAAAACATATGTTGCAATTTTTCCTATGTAGAATGTGGCGGGGTTAAACATGTTTGCAGGAGACAATCCTGCCTTTACCTGGGACAATGATGTAACAGTACATTATAAGAACAAACTATTACATTTGTTGAAAAGGGCTTAATCTAACAGATCGATACAAAGCAGAAAAGCATCTAACAAAAACACAAACCAGACGTGAAGTTGCCTGCATGCCGTTTACATGGTATATATCTGTGAAATTTACATATTTATATATAGGGCGTTTAGGGATTTTTTTCCCGGCAGCTGATACAATTAAAAATCTGCATACATCATTTAACAAACACAACCATACCATTTGAAACAAAGTGAATTGTTATTTAAAAAGCTATATCGATGTTGGTATATTTTGACCGTAGCCAGATTTGGCACAATTTATTTTATGAATTTTTTTGTTTTAACTGCTCTTCAACTTTGTCCGAGTTGTGAATTATTCATGAAAATGTTGTAAAAAGCAATGTATCTTGTATCAACATTTTTCATTTTCTCCGTTTTTGTTTTCAGACATCGGTTTGTGTATTCATCGGTAAAATACTGTTGTCTTAATTTTTCACTCGAGTGTATCCACAGTCAAGTTGTCAGACCTATGCTAGCATGGAATCTCATTTGCCGTATTTGGCACAACTTTTTGGAATTTTGGGTCCTCAATGCTCTTCAACTTTATACTTGTTTGGTTTTCTAACTATTTTGATCTGAGCATCACTGATGAGTCTTGTGTAGACGAAACGAGCATCTGGCGTATCAAATTATAAGCCTGGTACCTTTGATAACTATTTACCGTACATTCAAGATCAATAAATTACTAAAATCTTTGAAACACTAAGGATTTAAACCACTGCCAGGCCTAGATCACCTTAGAAATATTTGGGTCAATTTTTTCGGAAATGCCGGCGTCAATACATTTCAACTTCGTTATTTCATTTGGCTTTCCAACTTTTTAAATTCGAGCGCCACTGATTAGTCTCATGTCGACCAAACGCAAGCCTAATATCTTTGATAAGCTATTTTTTCTAATGGGTTGTGATATTTTGAATTTATAGATATAGATCTCAAATGTCCATTAACGCCAATTGAACACTATTACCGGTTCGACCATGTGAGTTGAGACACTTACAAATTGTAACGATCAACCAATGTGTGATGGTGACAGTACAAACTAGTGTTATCTCAATTCCAGTCGTTCATCACGATAATTCTGCCTGAGTAGTGTTTTTAAATGAACTCTTAATGAAGTTCGTGAATTGCGCATACTTAATGATTAAAACAAAATTGTCTTTATAAAAAGACCCATTTTCAATCTCGGTTAACAATATCATATCACACTATCCATTGGCTTAAGAGTGCGCATGTTATTATAAGATTAAGGAATACCGTATAGCGGATTATTTTCGCGGGTGTAAAATTTCGCGATTTTCATTGAATAAGGTATACAAAATATTTTGGCGGATTCAAACATTTTATAATTTTACAATACCATTGCATGCACACTTTTAAATTGGCGGAATTTATTTTGGCGATTTCGTTCTATCCGCGAAAATAAGCGAAAATTTACCCCCGCGAAAATAGCCCGCCTTACAGTAATACACTAAACATACAATCCTGGGACATATAAGGCAAGGATAAAAAAAATTAAAATGCAAATTTGCATGAACTCTGTATATCATTTCCTTTCAGCTTTTCATTTATTGGTAATTGCTATATTATCTTTGCATGATGCAAGGATTAAGTTATGCAGGACGAATCGATTGATTGGTGTTTATCGCCTCTTTCTGCACTATGATGAAAGAACCACCGACCTTCGATATGGAAAATGACAATCCTAGTCAATTAAGAGTGAAGTCGATCGCACCTCCTACATGCGGGATTCGAACTCATAATCCCAGCGTGGACAGGCTATTGATATAGTAGTTCGACTACTTAGACCGCTCGGCCACAAAGGCCTCAAGGACGAATTGAAACTACTTTGTAATGATACACGTAGGTAGAGATATAACGACAAAAATTATATTATTAATAGCTTTTAAACATGACAATACAGTTTGTTTGAAATGATTGCATGATTTTTGTTTGTTTGTTAATGATGCTTGGAGGATATATATGGGAACATTTTATTCATATATTGTATCAGCTGCCATATATTTGTAAATTACACAAATTTTAAATGGCTCGCATAATCAGTTAATGTGATAGTTATTCCAGTCGATGTGTATAATCAGACAAAACTTCCAATATAAACAGTGCATTATTTGAAGAGTTGTCTGACAATTCATTTGCAATAGTTAATTCACAATTAACAGAAGCAATTCGTAAAAAATATTATTTCTCAAATTATATTACATTTCGAAGAAACAATCCTATTCAGATTTGAAATGATTAGAAATACAAATAAAAAATAAATCACTTGGACAAATTAATACTTTTGGTGCTTTAACTAAGTCAACTCAAAGCTCAATAAAAATACAAGGCTTATAATTTGGAACGCCAGACGCGCCTTTCGTCAATATGAGACTCACCAGTGACGTGCGAATAAACACAGTTGGCACATCCAGAAATCAACGCCACTTTGCTTATTTGAATATTATACTAAAGAAATCGGATACGGGTCACGGAAATTATATTGAAATGATAGGGAATTTTGAAAAAAAATGTCTGTTTTAACTTTAATTTAAGTGATAGACAGGTTGCGGGGACAGAAAATAAATATACACAACAAATCAAATACGAAGTTCAGAAACATTAAAAACCCAAAACTCAAAAACCTCAAAAACAGTTGTGCCCAATACGGTGGAGGCAATCTATTCCCTGGGGTAAATAAACTTTAGTTTTTCAGGTTATACAAAAATTAATTCTCTTCAACTTCGTTATTTCATTTGCCTTTTGAACTTATTTATTTCGAGTGTCACGGATGAATCTGCAGCAATTCGATCAAAAGCGAGCCTGGTATTTTGATGAGTTTGATGAGATAAAGCGATGAGTTTTCTTGTGTCAGTCTGAAGTCAATATTTCTGAACTTTAATAAAAAGAATGTTGTGTTTAATTTCCCGCCTGTGTCCCTTTATTCCTTTCTAATATTTATTCAGAGTAGCAGAGTGTCACCGAGCTGTGTTAATCTGTTTCAGTCTGTAGCCTATGTTGCTTACATAATTGAAAAAAATAATACTTTGCCCAGTTTTTATTAGTTGCTCTGTGGTCCCATTTTTTTCAAATTCTACATGTTCAATAACGTTCTAATATAATGTGTAGAGATATGTACACCTATTTGATAGTTTTTGTCGAGCCTGCGACTTCTCTCGCAGAAAGCTCGACATAGGGATATTGATCCGGCGGCAGCGGTGGCGGCGGCGGCGGCGGCGTTAACTAACTACTTAAAAGCTTTATATTTTAGAAAGCGGAAGTCCTGGATGCTTCATATATCATGTATTTAGATATAAGAAGATGTGGTATGAGGGCCAATAAGACAACTCTCCATCCAAGTCACAATTAGTAAAAAGTAAACCAGTATAGTTCAAAGTACGGCCTTCAACACGGAGCCTTGGCTCACACCAAACAGCAAGCTATAAAGGGCCTTAAAAAATAACTAGAGTAAAACCATTCAAACAGGAAAACCAACGGTCTAATCTATATAAAAAACGAGAAACGAGAAACACTTATGAACCACATCAACAAACGACAACCCCTGAACAACAGGTTCCTAACTTAGGACAGATGCAAACAAATGCAGTGGGTTTAAACGTTTTATCAGGCGCCAAAATTCATTCTGACCTGAAGTAGTGGTGTAACATTACAATGTAGAAAGACACACTATAAAATAGCAATTAAAATGGCTTAACTCAATCA